ACACCCACACCCACACCCACACCCACACCCACACCCACACCCCACACCCACACCCCACACCCACACCCACACCCACACCCACCCTCTAAAAAAAAGAAAATTTCGTATGGCATGTTTTTCTAAAAGACACAATATCATATGGTATAATCAGGGATAGAAATGGAATAGAAAGTGAAAATTGTTGTGTAAATATTACAATCGAGGGTGTGGGTGTGGGTATATTTCTTAACTGAGGTCACACCCACACCCACACCCTAGTAACAATATCAAGCACTATAGTTGAGTTACAACTCAATTCATTCAAATTGGCGAATCTCTAGTGTGAAATGCGTCAATAAATATTTATTTTTGGCTTAGTATATTCGCCAATTGGCGAATTCTTAGTATAAAATTCGCCAATTTGGCGAATCTCTAGTGTGAAATTCGCCAATAAACTTTTTGTTTCGCCATAGTGTATTCGCCAATTAGCGAAAAGCTAGTTGATATTCGGCAGTTGGCGAAAAGTACAATTGGCGAAAGAAATATTGGCGATGGTATATTACCCCGCACATGACGTCTAATCTTGCTTGATTTTGAACTGAATTTGTAGTTATAATCGAATTGGAATAATGATGAAAATCGAATTGGGCTAAGAAAATAGATATAGAAGCATAAATTGGCTCGAAAAAAAGAGAACGTCTTTGCCTAATTAACAGTAAAATGGAGTCGAACAGTCAATGAAAACTGAAATGTACACAAATGAATGTTTAAATGTATGCTATTTTGTCTTTTTCAAAGCCTTATTCATAAGAAACAATTTTTTCTGGTTTCTTTTTCGTTTATTTTCTTTTTTTATTATTTCGCGCATTCCAATCTCAACTAAATTCTCATGTCAACTGTGGCATATATAAAAGTTCATCTTTGAAACAACAATATAGACTTTCTGTCAAAATTCAACTATTCGCATTCAGGAGTAATCGGGATTTATGACATAAGAGAATGTTTAGCAACTATTATTGCAATTTTATCTCAGCTACAGAAACCATCAGATACTTTAACTTCGTAATTGATAATGCACCTTTTGATTGAGTATGCATTAGATAAGATAAAGCATGTTGCTGTTGTTTGTGCCTGACTAACAAAGACAATCGTGTATACAGAACATCTTTTCATAATAGTGGAGGTAGTGACGTCAAGAAGAAAAAAGCAGTCGTATTAACAATGACAATGTACAAAAAATATTCGGAACAGTACGTTTTATGGTTAGAATCTGAAACTAATTCCAATAATGACAAACTGAAGGAAAAGTTGTCGAGCGTGTACAGTCACTTTCAAGTGTATGAAGAACCTAGCACATGTGTCAACTTCATATCTAGCTTACATGAAGATCAAACCAGTGCTTTTCTCATTCTCATTGGTACTCAATATGTATATTTAGCTGAAGTAACTAACAACTGGCCTCAAATTGCATATATTTATTTGTATAATGAAAAGAACGAACAAACATTATCATTAGATTACAATCATATCCGATTTTCTACATACAACTTTAAAGACTTACTCTATTCACTTGCACGAGATATTGAACTAATGGATGATATTCCTCCTGCGATCGCAGTGTTTATCTATGATACAAACACTAGAGAACGAACCATACGTGACCTTTGTTCGGATCATCAATCTGCAACGTTTGTTTGGTTTCAATTACTAGTCGATGTTATTCGTCAGATGCCTCACACAGATAGTGATAAGCAAGAAATGATTGTTTTCCTGCGAGAATATTTTCAAGACCGTGCTGTGGAACAACGACTAGTCGATCGGTTTGTTAATGAATACATCTCAACCGAAGCAATTCAATGGTATACAAAGTCAAACTTTCTTTTCCAAGTTCTCAATCGAGCTTTTCGTACACAGGATATCGACAATATATTCAAACTGCGTTATTACTTGCAAGATTTGTACAATCAATTGGTGACTATGTACGCAGAGCAGCGTGATGATTTGGAAACTGTTCCAGTCTATCGTGGTCAGTTAATGCGCCAGGCCGATTTTGATGCCTTCTTAAAGCATAACGCTAGCGGAAGTTTAATTGCCTTTAATGCCTTTTTATCGACGACTCTTGACCAGGATGCTGCCAAGATGTTTGCTGGATCTGAAACAAATACCAGTATCGATGAAATACCAGTTTTATTTGCAATGGATTTAGATCTCGAGAAAAGTAGATTACCACTTGCATACATTTCTCATCTGAGTGCCAATAAAGACGAAAAGGAAATCCTCGTAGCAATGGGTTGTGTTTTTCGAATTGACAAAATTGAAGAAAATCAACAAGAGAAACTATGGTATGTGCATTTAACTTTAAACGAAGAAGTAAATCAACGTTTGAGTGCTGTGATCGATTATCTCAAAAAGGAAGTGGATAATGAATCAACTTTAATGATTCTCGGTCGTTTTCTTGGTAAAGTTTTTATTTGTACAATAAAGTATACAATTTGATGTACTTATAGGTGACATGGGTGATTTATACCGTTCTGAACGGTACTTTCGATTACTTCTCAACAAGTTACCTTCCAACCATCCTGATTTCGGTACTGTATTGAATAATTTAGGTATTATTGCACATAAACAAAAGCAATATGAGGAAGCTATTTATTTTTTCCGACGAGCTCTGGAAATATTACCTGATGATCATGGAGATCAAGCATGTGCATATACAAATCTGGGTGCTAGTTACCAAGCAATACGCGAAGATGATCAAGCACTAGCTGCTTATGAAAAAGCATTAGCAGTCAATTTATTTCCATCAGATAAGGGAATAGTGTATAATAATATGGGTTCGATCTACAGCCGTCGTCGCCAGTTTGATAAATCTATCAAGTATCATCTGTTATCTCTAGATCTGAAATCTCCAAACGACCCAGAATTAGTTGCTACGTACAGCAATCTGGCTGTGACCTATGCAGATATAAAATATCCAGAGACCTCATTATATTATTGTCAAAAAGCGATTCACGCAATAAAAATTTTACCAACGGATAATATTCGCATTGGAATGGTTCACTTTACATTGGGCTATATTAAAGCCGCAATGGAGCAACATTCAGAGGCGATCAAACATTTTTCCGATGCACTTGAAGCCGATCGACAAATGACACCGAGTTTTATTGTAACTCAAGCAATTATCAAAACTCTACACGAACAAGGCCGTTCTCACGTAGAACTTGGACAAAATACGTTAGCAATTGACTGTTTTAAGGAGATTTTGTCTTTAGTATCGAATAATGATAATTGTCAAAGTGAAATAGCTCTAGCTTATCATAGTCTCGGTGAAATATATGAAACTGAAAGAAAATTTCGCCGTGCGCTTGAATCATATCATACGGCATTGAATATTTGGATGTTTGCACTCAAACACAATTTGAACGTCGATCGACATATTATTGCACAACTTCTGAATGACATTGCAGAAGTTCATGACAAGAAGAAGCGTTATGTGTTTGCATTATGGTACTACGCTCAAGCAATCAAATTTGCTGAAGGAAACAATACTCTAGTCCAAGAATACCGAAGCAGTTTTCAAGCTGTGGCAGAGAGAGCAGAAAATATTGTTCGAAAAATCTTAAATGTACATGTAATTGAATTGGAATAAAAGAATATATACCCACACTGCTCAAACATTCATAAAAGATGATGATTCATTGATGTTAGGGACAAACCTTGCTATCAACAATAAATAGATTTTTTGTGAGAATAAGAAAATTCGAAAAGCATTCATACTCATGTTTATTTCCTCGCGAGATACACTGGAATATATGCCCGAAGAATGCACTGTTTTTATTTCTTTAATATTTTTTTCTATATAGTTTTTAAAAGTTCAATGGTTAAAAAAAGTGGGTGTGAGAGTGTGGGGTGAGGGTGTATGAAGGTGAGTCAATAAGCACACCGTGATCGCGATTTCGACCTTGCTCAAGGATCTCATCAGACGGCTTAATTGTATATAGACTCTGTTCTGGGGCGTGGGTGGATGTGGGTGTGGGGTGTGGGGTGGGGTGCAGAGACCGAAAACGAGTCGAGTACTCGACAAATCGACTCGACTCGACTCGACTAATGCCGAGTCGAGTCGAGTTGAGTTAAAGATTTTAAAATGTGTGTTGAGTCGAGTCGAGTCCAGTAAAATCTACTCCCGAGTCGAGTCGAGTCGAGTTTGACTCGAGAGACTCGACTTTTTTGAATTTTCTTGTGGCTCTTTCTATTCTTTCTCAGCAAGAATGTTTGTTAGTTTTGGCTTTATTAAAACAGTACAATGTTAATTCATCACAATGAATTCGTCAGACAGTCAGTGTCAATGGCTAAACAACAATGAACCGACGGTATTGAATGGACTGAAATGAATAGCGAACAATGACTTTCATTGTATTCACTGTATTATTGTCTATTCATAGATTAATTGACGGTCAGATTATAACTCAAAGACGCTCAAATCTCGATCCTTCAACAGTCAATAACTTAATTTTTTTACGTTCATTTGAAAACAACAAACAACTACTCTAGCTTAGAGTTTTTTCTTTTGATTCATTCTTGTGGTTTTTGTTAATTTTGTTATTTATTCTTGCTATTAAATAAAGCTATATTTATAAACATTAGTTATTTGAACGAATACTCGGTGGCTCGACTCGAGTCAGATCTTTTTCCAATGTCCATCGAGTCGAGTCGAGTCGAGTCGAGTGAATATCTAAGTCAAGTCGAGTCGAGTCGAGTCGAGTCAGATCTTTTCCCAATGTCCATCGAGTCGAGTCGAGTCGAGTGAATACCTAAGTGGAGTCGAGCCGAGTCGAGTAGGATTTTTTTGACTCGTTTCGGTCTCTGGTGGGGTGTGGGTGGGTGTGGGTGTGGGGTGTGGAGTGGAGTGTGGGTGCGGGTGGGTGGGTGGGAGTGTGGGTGTTGGTGTAGTTCTTTCTTACGCCCACACCCTTTTGCAATTCTGGATAGTATTCTTCATCTTCACGAGGAAATAAAAGAGGATAAGTCATTGGATCACAGTGAAGATGTAAGATTGAAATCGTTTGAAGATTTTGGTCACGCGGATGAATGGTAATATGTCAATATGTTGGAACTTCACTATCTCTACCTACAAAGACTGCAGCGACTTCATTCGCTGTTGGAAGATTGTAAAGTCGCCGATCGTGAATTCCATGATTAATGTCAAAAACCATTCGAAGTGGAGGCGGTACTCGTTTCTCTCTATTGGCTCGATCAATTTCTTCTTGTTCGACTTCATGCATCATCTTGAAGGCAGCAGCAAAAGCACTAATGCTCTTCATTATGTCGCCAAGTTTGCTCATGGGCGTTTCATTGCAATTTTCATTAGCAGCATTTCCCATCCGTTCTTTTAATGCCAAGGATGAGTCCAAACTGTAACGTTGTCTAAATTGAGGTCTCTAGCCAGGATCAGAATGAAGTGGGCCGATGCGATGATAGATTTGTCCATGAATGCGAATGCAATAGGGCCCAAATCCTTGTGGCAAATCAATTCGAGCCCCCATAGATGTAAATGCAGGAGCATTATTGTAACTTCTAATGTGTTCACGAAAATTTCTTGATTCAGCATCGGTTCCTTATAGAAAGGTTTTGATTTCATCTGGATATGCGGAAGTTCGGAAAGTTGAACAGATCCATAGTGACAACGCTGCTTGAATTCATCGTGCCTATCAGACGTGCATTCATTCTTAAAGTCTAGGGCATTGCAGTGTCAACAGAGATTATCCATTCTCCCATGGTAACTTTCAGGAGGAAATTCGTCTCGAAGTGCAGCTGCATACAAAGATGAGCTTCGTTGACGACGCTTGCGCTGGCGAAAAGCGTTCTTCACTTGTCGTCCATATCGTTTATCGTCTGTTTCTTGTTTTCTTCGTTTTCTTTCTCGTGACGTTGCGACTGAAAGCTGCTTACCAACATAGTCTACTTGCAAGATATTTCCGTGGACAAGCGCTGTTGATATGGACTTTTCACATTCGCAATCCATAGTAGAATCTTCGGATGTATCGGTCATCATTGATATCAGGAAAATGATCTACTTGCAATTGTGACAGATCTATTTATACCCTTTTGTAGCCTATCCTGGAACCTTCTAGAACATTCTCGATCATGCATGACGTAAAGTAGCTGAAAATTCTGGAATGGTCTAGAAAATTCCAATAACTGCCAGATCACTATAGGAGACTTTAGGAGATTCTAGATCTGCAGAACATTCTGTAACAGTCCATATATTTCTAGAACTTTCTAGAAACATAGTAGCACTCAGTTTGATCCTTGACAGTTCACATTTGCATATGATCCTCAGCGAATATTCCAGATAGGTCGAGAAAGTTCTAGAACAAGGGTGTGGGGTGGGTGTGAGGTGTGGGTGTGGGTGGGTGTGAGTGTGATGTGGGTGTGGGTGTGGGGTGTGGATGTGAGTGAAAAGAAGAAGTGTACGCACACATACTCCCACCCACACCCCACATCCACACCTACACCCACACCCACACCCCACATCCACACCCCACCCACACCCACCCCACACCAACACCCACACCCATACCCACACCCATACCGCCACACCCTATCTGCCATTAATATCATATACATTTCTGTTTACCTGTTCTATTAAAGCATGGGTAACAACCCAAACAAGAAGGATCCTGGAATTATAATTACATTAACAAATCGATCAGCAGAGAATTCAGTCTATATTTCGGATAAACCTATCCATTGTATTGTTTAACTTATTAATACACAACAGTATTCCAATTTGAAACACAAAGACGCTTGTATCGAAATAATTGATCTAGGAATTCATACGACACAGACAACAATCATCAATGCCGATGGTATGACAAGCGGGTGCGGGTGTGGTGTGTGTATTGTCTTCACACGCAGTACACCCACACCTACACCCACGCTCACACCCACACCCACACCCACACCCACACCCTGATGCATATTATGAAGAAGAGAAAATATTGTTTGCTCAAGATATCAGAACAAATTACAAAGATTTTCTCTTCCTTGACGTCAGTAATAAAGTCAATACAGTCACCAATATCCTTAAATGTTTTAACGGTGTTTACCACTTCTCGTAATTTAATGTTTATTATACCCTTACCTCACAGTATAGGGTGAAGATCAAAAAAGAATACAAAATACGCAGAAAAATACAAAGAGAAAAGAAAGAAAAAAAGTTTGTGCTCACACAAAAGTGTGAATGTTCATTCGGTTGATTTCGTGCTTGATCGTCGTAGAATCGCAGAACGAGGTACCGTTTTCCAAATACAACCTTCAAACCTTGTGAGCCTGGTTTGGGTTATATCCATCATGAGGTGCGGCGTAAATCGATTCAACTTTTTCATCTTGCATTATTTCGTCGAAATTTTATTCTTCTTGCACCATCCCCTTGCACACGACTTCACGTGTCCAGTAATACCTTGAGGCTTAAACACTCCCCTTGAACACCTTGGATTCGGACATGTATACGTACCATCAAGATTCTTGAGGCCTTGCTTGGCTAGAACGTCAGTGACCTTGGGAGGAGGAGGTGCGTTTGCTGCAGCTTGTCGTTGTTGTGATTTTTGCTTGTATTGTTGTAGGACTTCTGAGATATTTGAGGAAGGTGTGTTTGAGCGAATATATTTGTTGATTATATCTCGCCATTTGTCTCGATCAAGTGTTTGCCGTTGCCAATTCCGAATATTGAATTTCTCTACGTCTTCACTAATTTTATCTTGCCATCGTTTTCGGTTACCGATATTTTGTGGTTTGACCGATTGAGGAAAGTAGGAAAACATGGCTTTCTTGACCATTGATGATTCATTGTCTTCTTTTTGCATTCTATTTACATGTCCAAACCAACGAAGACGATTTCTACTGAGAATGTTGCTTAGATATGGTTGTCCAGTGAGTTGTAGAAGTTGTTCATTTGGCATGCGGTCACCCACATTGACTCCAATTAAAGTTCTCAGGCATTTGAAGTAGAAGGTATTGAGACGTTGTTCCTGCGCTGCTGTTGTTGACCATACTTCACTGCCATACAGGAGAACCGGGAGGACGCAGGCATGAAAAATTCGTAATTTGGCTTGAATTGAAACGGTTTTTCTACACCAAATAACATGACGTAACATATTGAATGCTGTTGAGGCTTTGGCAAGACGAGTTTCAAGTTCTTTCTCGATCGATTGGTCTCTTATCACGTAACATCCGAGGTAACAAAATTCGTCGACAGTTTTAATTCTTTCGTTCCGAATGGTTATCGTCGGCTTTGGATTGTCAACTTCTTGGTCTTTGATGACTTTGTTTGTTAGAAGATATTGTTGTAGTTGTTTGAGGGACATGATGCATGTTTTTTTTACACTCATTGTAAGTCCAAAGTCTTGTGTCACTTGCTCGAAACATTGGATGAAGAGTTCGAGATCAATGGCATTGTCACACATCACGACCAAGTCATCAGCATATATCAAGAGGAGGATATCCAAGTCATCATAGTTATCACTTGCAGGATGAAAGAAGTCATTAATACCATAGGCCATTTTGATTCCAGTTATACCAAGAAGTTTTACTTGTTCAATGACACGACGCATGATAAAGTCGAAAAGGACGTTGAAGAGAATACAGGAAGAAATGCCACCTTGCTGAACACCCGAATTGATATCGAAAGGATCTGAAAGCTCTCCATTTATTCGAACTTGTGCTTTGATGTCTTTGTAAAGAAGTTTGACCATTCGAACAATCTTGTCAGTAAGACCGTAATGACGACATATTTGCCAAAGAAGAGCACGATCGACGGAATTATAGGCTTTCATAATGTCGATAAAGCACATAAGAAGAGGCTTGTTGATATTGCGAGATTTCTCCATTACCATTTTGAGAATGAATATCTGGTCGATTGTTGAACGATTTGATCGAAAGCCAGCTTGTTCTTCTAGTAGTTGTTTGTCCAGAAGGCCTTGTACGCGATTGAGAATGATTCTAGAGAAGATTTTGCTTGCTACCACCAAAAGAGAAATTCCACGATAATTGTCACAGATCTTTTTATCACCCTTGTTCTTATATAGTCGTATCAGTATTGCAGTTGTCCAGTCTTTGATCATTGTTTCATTTTTCCAAATATCAACAAAAATCTCATGTAACCATTTTGCCATTGGAAGACCACCAGCATTGATAACATCTGCAGAAATTCCATCATTTTCAGGAGGTTTGCCATTTTTCATCTGCTTGATGGCACACTGTACTTCACTAAGTGTAGGAGTTTTGTCTTAGTGTTGTTGCTCATTTGTAGTAATTGTTGCAGGATGAATTCGTTGAATTGTTGCTTGATCGACGATGGATGGTACATTTAAGAGGTCGTTGAAGTAGTCTTTCCAACGATTGAGTTTTTCTTTTGAGTTTGTTAGCAGACTTCCTTGCTTGTCGAGGATTGGAAGGTTTTCGATTTTTGCTCGTCCACCTCTCAAACGTCGAATCATTGCATATGCAGTTGCTGGATCATGTTGCTTGATGGCATTTTCGATTTCCATACTGAGTTCATCTCAATATTCCACTTGCCGTGTTTCGATTTTCTTTTTGGCCAAATTTCGAAGAAGACAATAGCTCTTGCGATATCTTGCCTCGAGGGAAGTGCCACGAAAATTTTGCCAATCGAGGAATGCTTTTGCTTTTTTATCAACAACGTCGAGGATTTCATCTGTTAACCATTCTTTGTATTTCCTGCCATTTCCATCTTGTTGAAAGATTGATCCACTTGTTTGGCGTACGTAATCGACAAAATCGGTATATTTTTGATCGATGGTTTGAGGAGGAGATGTTGATTGTTGGGGTCGTCTGTTTAGTTGTGCTTGAAATGCAATTTTCAATTGTTCGTTTTTGAGTTTTTTTCGATCTACACGTAATGATTGAAAGTTGGCTACTTTTCTTCGCCTCTTCAGATGGAATTTGAGCTTGATTCGAAGAAAGTGATGATCAGTTCCAATTGCTCCAGCTGCTGTACGATGAACTCGAGCATCTTCGACGCTTGAACGAACTTGCTTGTTGACGAGGGCATAGTCCAACATATGCCACGTTTTACTTCCAGGATGCATCCAGCTTTTTTTGATGAATAGGTTTGTGTTGAAAAAACGTGTTACATATAATAAGGTTGTTCATGGAGCAAAAATCGACGAGACGTTCGCCGTTGTCATTTATGGTATCCACAGCATGAGGACCAACGACATTGCTACTTGTACGATGTTGTTCCTGGCCAACACGGGCATTAAAATCACCAATAATGAGAAGCATATCACACTTTGGCACTTTGTTGATAGTAGCTTGTAGATCTGCATAAAAAGGATATGTTGTTGAGCTGGCTTACTGCTGATTTTTTGGATTGACAGGTGCATAGATAGCGATGACAGTAACGTTTATTGGTTTGCATGCGAGACGAACCATGACAATACGTTCGTTGACGGCTTCCCAAGTTGAACCAAGGTTTTTCCATGCTGTTGTTGCTTGCTTGTTAAGACATATGGCTACTCCATGAGCTGAACGAGTTTTGTCTGCACTTGAGTGACCAGAATAGATGAATGTATATTTGCCGATGATCGTTGTTCCAGAGTCATACATTGCTGTTTCACTTAGAGTTGCTACTTGAATCCGATGTTTTTTGAGTTGCTTGATAATTAGTTCCTTTTTTGCTTGATGAAAACACGATCTCACATTCCACCCACCGAAGAACGTTGTTTTAAGTGCGTTTATGCACTGTTTTTGATCTTGTTCGTTAGCCAGTTGAATTTAATGTCTCACTAATAGGTGGCTAACCACCTAGAAGTAAGACTGGGTGGCTACCGGCAGCCCAGAGGCGCCTCCCACACTTTGCGAGCAGAGGTGGGACCCTGTAGACGTCCGAAGACATCCCCGGCAGACCACGTAATTTAATGAGTACATTATGATGATCATTATTGTTCATTTGATCAATATTTTCATCCAACCATACTAAAAGGAAGTTCTGAACTGGACGAACACATGGAGACTGAGATGACTTTATATCCATATGTTCAAGTGTTTCTGCTATGGTAGCATCTTTTGATGAATAGACCTTTCCTTTTATTTTTAAAGAATTGTGTGATTGTCTGCTCCTGCTACAGCAATTGATCCACGCTATCATTTTGATCAACTTATCCATCACGCTCATTAAGTTACAAAAGATAATTTCGAAATAAATTATTTAAATAAATTAATAAACAATTGACTTTTTCCGTCTATATTTTGTATTGATCGTTAACAAGAGGAGAGGTGCTTCTGTTATTTTTCATTGAATATGTTGTGATTGATAAGTTTACTTCTTATCACGGCGTATTATTTTTCTTTTATTCATGGTCACACTTCGTCAACCAAAAGGTTTTTTCCAACCAATGTAAATAAATAACACATATACCTAAGACATGACACATACTACGCACTTTTTTCTTTCTATCTCCTTCTAACAGGTGGACTTATACATAAGTTGATGATACTGTGCAAAGGCTCATCTGTAATTTTTTTTTTCTTCTCGACTATGAATAGTACGAAAAGAAAAAAAGGAAGTTTTATGTTTAATAGTATATCAAATACTTGTACATTTCATTTTCTCAAAACGACAATTTTGTTGACAAAATATGACAAGAAAAATAAAAATAAATTTAAATAATACAATCATTGATTATTTAAGTGACATTGTTAACCTTGATAGTAACACTTAATTTTTCTTCTGGGCAACAGACATTTATTTAATCAGAAAATCAACAATATGTAAACTATTAAGAAAAAGGTAAACGATACATCCAAAACAAAGAGTGCAGCGTAACGTAGATGCTTAACAATTAAGGTTATCTATCGGTTCATCGGCGCACTAGTCTGAGTATACTAAGATAGTTGCAATGATCCATCAACGGCTTGTTAAAATCAGTGAAATCTTTATACATGTAGCAGTGAGTTTGATAATTAAGACAATTACCGCATGCATGGTACAGTGAAGGCCAGTGTTTTATACAGTTAACATACGTAGTATAAAAATATTTCATCAAGTTTCATAAAATATCACTATTTTTTGGAAAATAGTCGTTCTTTGACGAAATAATCAAATTGGCAAATTTTGCGCACTTGTCCATACCTTCGAATTCCTCAACTTCAAAAATCTTTACTCAAGTAAGAAGAAAAATCAATATTCTTATACAATAGGCACCTTTTGACTAAAAAAATTTTACTTTAACTTTAACTACAATACTTCTAAGATCAATGCACTGTCACTGTTACACTCATAGTATTAAATAAATAAACCGCATATATTAAGATTTCAAGTCAGTGTAGAATACTTTTTGTGCGTATGCATGTATTTAGACTATTACTGAATATGATCCATTTGTTGTAATCCCATCATTAGACACTTACTGTAGTAAAATATGTTTCGATTGTATAATTAGATTATTTATATGGCCGCTACATGATTAATACCTGAGTCAACAGCAGCCATATGCTCTATACTAACTGCTAGCCTGAACTTTAATTTCTAATTATGATACATCAATTCTTGCGCTTGTCTTTTAATCTAATTTATGTATGTGGTAGACTGTGAATGAAAGGATGCAACAAAGAGTGATTTATCAATTTTTCTTTTGACTATTGTAGAATGAAAAATTTTATCGTACTCATAACATTCACTTTGATTAATAAAGAAATCAATTCAAGTTTTGTCTTGAAAATATCTATTAGAACATTTCTTATGCCTGCAATCAACTCAAATAACTCGAGCAGATTTTTCTCTAAATGGAAACCGAACTGATTATAGTCCGATATGCTGTGTCACGAGTAATCCAAATATGGTCTTGAATCTGTTTTTCGGCTCCGTTTTAAGGAAAAAAAAGCAATTTCTCAAAACTCTCCAAAAGAATGTCTTTTCAGTTTTATGAGATCTTTTCGATTTTTACACTGTTTCAAATATTTTCAGTCTATTTCTCTCAAAATAAAAGCTGAGAAGGAATTTTTTATCACAATGCTCAGCAGCTCATATATTATCTTGTGTTGTTACGTTTATTTATCTTCTCTCCTTCTTTCTAGTTTAATTATTATTTTTCCTACATTCTCACCATGCATTTCCTTTGGTTATTATTGTATTAAGCACATCGTCTAGACTGCGAATTTACTTCGATAAAAGTTGATGCTGAAGAGCAAGTATTAAGATTAGCAGATTAAAGTTGTTTCTTTTTCTTGAGATAATTCAGTTTTCTTTTCGATTCATTCACCTCATTTTCATTCGATAAACATTACATATTCATTGAAAAAAAATAGAACTTAGAAAAGGAGCAGTTTAAATATCATGAAAATAGAGTTGATTACATGTTTCAATGACAAGCATATTTGAGCCAAATGTAATGGAATTTAATACATTATCCTTGCAATTATAGTACGTTGTTTCTTCAACTTCACCATCGTTGTTTACAATTGTTAATTTATTTGATGATTTAACTACAATTAACCACTTCGCATGTGGTAATAAAGCAATGTCCAAAATGTTAAAATTCAAAGTATGTAAGATGTTCATGTTATAATCATGCAATTCAAATCGATCAGTCCTGTGATACTCGCCGATACCTAACACTATACGTAGTTCGTTCACCTTCATGCATCTAATCAATTCATTATCATTCTCAACAGCTAATTTCCATTCATTTATTAGTTCATATTCATTTTCTTCTATTTCAATCTTTCGCTGTTCAATATTATAATCATATGATAAGAACAAGAATTTATCGAAACATGTGCAACGATACCATCCAGTTCCAGTATCACGAATATTTTCTATCGTTTGCCGTTTTTCCATTGTTGATGAATCGAATGTATAAAAACCACTATTACTCCATATGAAAAATAGTTCCAATAAAGTTGAATAACATATATCAATTATCCAATCGTCTTTATCCCATGGAATATGCCGTCGTTCCATACTATTTATTTCAAAAGCATATATTTCATCCAGTTTACAATGGAATAAATGTTGATCAGATGTTGCTAATCGTGTACAGTCTTTACTCTTAATATCAACTACTGTTTTAGGTCTGTGTTGTGCCAATTTTAATCTTAAACTATCATCTAAGACCACATTTGTTTTTTCAAACTCACTGCTTTTTGTAGTCATCACTCCATATACATCTTCATTTTGGTTTCGATAGCCGTTGACATTGACTGCAACAACATTTGTCCAATTAATTGGAAGCATATAACGGTCTATTTCGCTATTTTCATCGTTGCTCATATCATTTAACTCATCTTCGTTTTGATCTATATTGTTTATTAGCCTGTTTAAATCTGATTCATTAGTTATTTCATCATAGGGTTGCCTTATATCGTTCATTTGTTCATCCATTAAGCGATGAAGTTTTTTTCTCGCATCAGTGGCTATATTTTTGATCATTTGTAGCATTTCTGTTTCGAATTCATCTAGTCTGTTTTGTGAAACACGATCTAAAAGGAGTGTTGAAGTTTAAGGGTAGAAATTTGGACCCACTACCCACCCCTCCCCCTCGTCCTCTCCCTCCACAGACGTGACAGACGTCCTTAGCAGCCGCACGTCACGGACGTGACAGACACATTAGAAACGGCTTGTCACAGATGTGGCAGACATCCTTAGCAACGGTTTATCACCGACGTGACAGACACCTTAGCAACGAGCTCCCCATTACAGACTGTGATAGATACCTTATCAACCATTCGTTTCAGACGTGACAGACATTTTAATTGATTAATTAACTACACAATTAATGATCTAATTAATAGACTAATTAATCAGCTAATTAACCAATTAATTGATATTTCCTCAGTTATTGATTAATAACTTCGTCACAGACCATGGCAGACAGGCCAAAAGGCCGTTACGGGCTATGACATAAGGTGTTAATATACGATTAGTGGTCGCATATCAGTGACGATTTGTTACAATATACCAGTTACTATGTAATTGCATTTCTTGGAGATTAGGTAAGCTGAAAACAACAATAGCTCCATCGTGTTTCACATTTTAATCTCGTAGGGATTGCGCTAACAGCTTTTCTAACTGACAATAACAATTATTTCTTGTTGATGCGATTAATGACATCTGGATAATATCGATGAGAATATCTGTTGCCTTAAAAGACATTTCATGAGAGCATCGAAGATTTGCAAATATTAAAAAAATCAGGATATTTAGGTTTTCATTTTATTCATCTGAAAAGGTAACTTACCGTCCGCCGTAATACCACTAAAAATGGGCGTTTGCTCTATAAATGTACTTTAATTATTTCTTTGTATTTCAGCATCGATAGAAGTGGGCTATATTTTAATCGCTGGCAATGGTTTCGGTCTGCAAAACTGTTTACATGGTTCCTCCTTAAATTGAAATTTCAGATGTGAGAGTCAAAATACCCTTCTTTGTCCAGCAATCAAATGCTCATTCTCACAGTATTTTAGGCAAATATCTACACCAAAGATTGGAATGGGGCAAATTTTTCGCTTTTCATCTGGGCCTATTTTATGTTCACAAGCTAGTTTTATTATTTGGAAATATTTCCATACATAAAGATCACAAACGTAATAAGGAGAACAGATGCAAACTCAAGACAAACAAGGTGCTTTGAGAAGGAATAGAATACATAAATAGTAAGAAGAGTCGCATACGTGAGCTAATATTTAAAACGGTCAGGACACACTAATCAAAAACTTCACGCTCGTCGATATTTGCTGCTGGCGGTTTTCGTCCATCTTGTTACTGAATTTGTTGCGAAGATAGAGTTCTGTAATTCAGAGACAACTCCGCGAACACTGTTTTAATGAAATTTTAAGACGATAAAATATGTGGAGGATATAACATAACTACCACTTGTCTTGTTCTGATGTGCTAAAACTAGTCTCCGTTCTGCTTCGAATTTTGATTCGGTTCTCTTACGATTTCAGAAAGATGATTGATGAAAAAATCCCATCGTCAGAGAACTGAGACAGAGCAAGCTTTCAAAAACATCATGCTCGACATCTCCTTGATCCATTACCAATCAAACGTGCCGCATCGAAACTCAATGTCAAATTTTAATATCAGATTTGTGTTCAGCGTTCAACACTCCAAAAAAAACCGTACCTTAGGGAACCAACTAAAATGGGCTTTCGAAAGTCGAAAATATACATTGCGACACTAAATTTTAGCTGTAATACTCTAAAAATTGGCAAAAAAACCTACCCAATCCGCACGTAACGGATCAGATTCGATTACAACTCTCCATATAATATCGAAATTGGGCTTAAAAAGTTACAGATAAAATGTGTTGATAGCAAAGCTCGAAAGCGACCACTCTCTCGTGACCTGATGGATCGACAGTGACCCACGCGTTAATTCCACCTAGGGATGTATCAGTGTCGGTTTACTGAATACCGACGTCACTGGCGCTGATCCTACTGACAGCATTGATACATTAACACTGATCTCACTGACACACACTGATACACTGACACTGAACCCATTGACAGCACTGATGCACTGCCACTGACCTCACTGAAACACATTGATACACTGAACACTGACAATACTGATTCAGTGGCGTCAGTGCGTCACTGACTCGACTACAAGCTACGAAGTGCTTCTTCAGCTGTCTTCGTTTGAATCACTGCAGTGACGCCAATCCATCACTAGGTCAATATTGTCAGTGTTCAGTGTATCAGTGTGTGTCAGTGGAGTCGGTGTCGGTGTCGGTGTGTCAGTGTTTTCAGTGAAATCAATGCCAGTGTGTAAGTGGTACTCAATGAGATCGGTGTCAGGGTATCAGTGTGTTTCAGTGAGGTCAGTATCAGTACATCAATGTTGTCAGTGGGTTCAGTGTCAGCGTATCGGTGCTGTCATTGGGATCGGTGTTGGTGTCAACAGTGCCAGTATTTCAGTGTACTCACCGATACTGATACATCCCTAATTTCACCAAGCCCAGACCGCAAAAAATTTTGTTGACAAAGATTCTTTTCCTGAATGGAATGTGGAGATTATTTCGATAATTACTGATGTACTTGGAAGTAAATAAATGCTTTTACAATGAAGTGAATAGACTCAGATGGCCGAAATTAAAATAAATGTGAAATCAAACGCACAAACAAAACATATCCTAAAGGTATTGAAACTCATGAGAAAAGTATGATATAAGTTGGATCTTAAATTTCTAGGTATCAAAACATTGTTCTCTTCGCCAATGGATAATTTTGACTGCTTTCTAACTCAGTGAGTGGTCAAAGTGGAAAAAAAGGCTTTCGCTCTGAAATATCCATGAAAATTCATAGTCAGGGTAGACCGTACATAGGTTAAAAACAGCGCGTGAGATGCTTAGATAAAGCATGAAAAAAGCTTGTTAGCGCAGCTCCAAAGGAGCTAAAATGTGGAACTCACGTATATCCTTTAGACTTGTTATCCTAATATGTCATCTGTAAACTGAAAGATTTCTGTTGATTAAAATGATTCTTATAACTCATCACTGACATAGACAGTATCTTATAAATTTATTTGTACATTTAAAACTGCGATTGTCTTTTTCGTTTGAGCGCGTCCGATTTTCTTTATTACTGCTGATATATACTCGATAATAATCATTTTTTTTTTATTTGAGATTTTTTCATCATCAACTATTTCATAAATACGAATCTTACAATAATGTACTTAATATACATTAGCCATTCTTACAATACTTTTATAGATCTCAATTAATTTATCAATAATGATATTGTTTTCTTCTGACGCTAATAAAAAGATCGAATCATGTTTCCTGTATTGATTATATCATCGGTACGACAGATTAATACCTATTATCACTATTCATCGTTGATTTTTAGCATACAAGTTTAAATTCTTAAAAAAGCCAACGATTATACTATTAAGAATTTTGTTAAGTGCATGTTAGTTTTTGCAAATAATTATGAAAACATTATAATATTGTATAGCAGTCAAATTCATATTTTTCAAACCGTTCAAGCCTTTTTCTATTGTTAAGTAAGGCTTAAGTTTTTTGTGTGCAGTTGCTGAGGTCTGTAATGGGGTGGGGGGGGGGGGGGGGGGGGTTGGTGTTAATTTTTTTTTTTCCCTTTTAAGATTGTTTGTACAGGGGGGGGGGGGGGGGGGAGCCGCCAAAACTTGAACTTAAAACTTACACTCACTATTTTCTTCGAAAACATACGTGAGTTCCACAAAATTGATACTGTAAGATTCATAAAAGAGCTATGAGAACTATGTCTAATTAATCTTATAAGGTATAGATCGAGATTTTATCGGTACAACGCGAATACGTGAATGAACTCGAAATTTCGAATTTACGTGCCGACCGCCTATATGCTGTCACCAACAAGACCTAAGACCTTCGTATTTTTTGAATATTATAGTAGAAGTTGTAGCATCACTCAGTTACTTTTCGGACTACCTCTCAAGTTGAAAAAGTTTGCCAGATCCCATCGGATTCGTAGAAGTCCCTATTCATTTCTGTGGCAGAATTTTTACGGATAATGATCATCGGAATCCGATCAGATATTGACTCAACTCGACAACTTCTGATCTACGGGTTCCGAAGGAATTTATTAGTCCGATCCTACCATGAGAGGGTACCAGAAACCGATCGGACTACATCAGATGCGATGACATCCTGTAGGCAGAACCGAGCCGAATCTGCTAATCGGAATCCGATAGTTTCTCTCGAAATTCTACAATATCTGCAACAAATAAAAATATCAGTCAGATGAAATTTTTTGAGTTGATTTGCAGCAGAAATATAGCGTCTTGATATCGTAAAATGATACTAGCGAAATAACAACACTGGTATCGATATTAGAGACGGCTATTCCTTCACTAACAAGTCGTTGTGCATATCCTCACTGGACAAATCATAGTGATGTTCACTTGCGATTGTATATAAGACCTGATCAGTTCAAATAAGCTTGACCAATGTTATCATCCCACATGGGTCTATGCAGAGTGATCGCTCTACATATACCAATAAGGGTATAGGTAGTGTGATATATCCTGATAGATGTAGGCACAGTGATATGTCCACTAAGGTGTAGACGGCTGTTGTTGTTATAAGGACGCAATTATTTGCAGTGCGTTTGGAAAATAGCCTATCGGGTCCGGTAGGATGTGATCGAATCCAGTGGCTTTTTCTTCGAGGAGCGAATCGAATATGATTGGATGCAGTAGCCGGAATGTATCGTTCTCTGGTCGGATATGAC